TTTACACAGTGGTCTTTTTAACTTAGTTGATCCCAGGCAGTCGAATTCCTTGTTTACATGTTTTTTGTATTATGTTTAAATTTCAATAGAATTCATCCTACAGACGAGTGTTGAGCCGACTCATACTAATAACCGGCATCAATGGCTGTAAGCAGCACCACCTAAATATACAGTATCTAGGTGGACAACACCGTCACCTAGCACCTAGGCAGTAAGTAGTTGAATAACAGGTTTCTTGTTGAAAGAAATATTTAATGCTCAACTTGCTCCATTTATCAAACATCATAACTATTGACATATTTACACATAGCCATACTGATTTACTACTCTCGTTTTCTTACGTTTCCTTCAAATTCTTCATTGTCGCTCCCTCGCGAAAAGTTAGCATCACATAACCATGAATAGGTTGGCACCCCCTGCGTGGGGGGGGGAGTGCAGATGAGAGCGACGTCATTTACAGATCGCTGTTATAGTTATTAACGTCATTAGGCCGCTAAACACCAAATAACAGACGCGGTTGAAGTTTGTAAACCGAGGTGACATCAGAAGTTTATAACCAAGTTTTGTTATCTATACTAATACGTTATGAAGACACAAGGGCATTGCGTACTTTGAATGTACTGGGCGAATAGCGATGAAACTTATATGCTAGCTTCCTTTGAAGGACAGGAATGCTATAGGCTAGGATTTACAACCATAAACCTTTATATACTCACAAAATACTTACTTTCCTGGACGTAATTAGCCTAGTAGCGCATCATAGATTCAAGAGTGCATCAATATGCAATAGTTTAGTTGCGACCCACCAGAGGATAACAATCGAGGTGTACGATTGAGTTCATCAATTCACAGAATTAGTATAACTGTATAATATATAGCAATTTTTATAAGAATGGACCGATTTGATAGCTAGTGCTGGCAACACAACTACAGGTAACGTGATCGTTGTGTCCTTGAGCCCATTGCTTTAATTGCTTCACCTGGTGTATAGTTCGTGTTCGCCTGACCCCTTGCGGGGTCTCTTCGAACGGTGGGCGTATTGGCGTGTTTTTCTTTTGGGGTTTTCGACTCCTCTCCCCCGTACAGGACGGGGACCGGGAGTCTGGGTTGTTTGTGGGGAGGTTAGTTTTCTTTGGAGAAAAGGGTTATTTTATTAGGGTTCTGGATGACGGGGTTGAGCCCATTAGACTCTCCTTCCTCCATTCGTTCGTTTGCTGTTGGCTAACTTGTAAATGGGTTTGACGCTTTCTTTTGCAATGTCCTCGTCCGACGAATAATAGTGCGCCAAGAGGAATAATTGAAATTCCGAAGTGCAGTATTATGTGCTCTTCTGTAAAAAATATTTTTTATGAATATTACATTGAATTTACTTTATGTTTGATAAGTATTATGTTTATTCTAAAACCGAGTCTAATATGCGTACTGGTGCACGGGTTTCCGGCTAAGGGGGCGAGCCGTGACGGAGAGCGTGTCATGGTTTCGTGCTTTGCTTTATGTATTTATTTTTTTAACAATTACCCAGTTGTGAAACATGAGAAACCATGATGTCTTAACAGGAGCCATATTCAGGCATGAACACTTTACGAGGAGGCGTGGCTGTAAAACTGTCGCGTCAGAGGAATACTTCTCTGAATTTCATATGATATTCATTTACTTAGGGGCCTGTCACTTTGGCTCATTTTATGCGAATTGTTCTATAAGTATAAACTATTCATTTTACCGTTAATGGTTTATTTCAAAATGTTTATATTTAAGAATGATCCTGATTGTTTTTCTTCTCTCCATTTATAAAAGCAACTTGGATATGGATTTTAATTGCATCCAGGCGTGAATTTATTAAGTGTACAAGTATTCATATTCATATATGAAATGATTTGAAAACGACTTTTGTTGATGGATGTTTGATATTGTCATAAAAGGTATGAACGCATTCATGTGTTCTACATGAATAGTTATTGGTTTAGTTGTGGTATATTAAGTATGATTATTACGTATTTGCGAGTGGGACGGGGTGAGTTAATGTGAAATTTATTATGAATGATCAACAAGCGATCGAAACTGTGTCAGATGGATAAATATTTGTAGGGAAGTGATTTATTATAGTTGAGAATACGTATCTTTGGCTGATGAAGGAATAATTACTCATATTGATGAAAGTTCAACAAGAAGAAGTATTACTGAAGTAAGAGTAGTGAGAAATGGAAGGAATTTAATGTATTTTAACACTGCTTTTGAAGGTAGTAGAAAATAAAACAAAGCAGCTTTTAGATAAGAGAAAAACCTTGGTGAAGTCGGGGGACACCTCGGATTTTTCGAAATATTATAATTCACTATGTGGTTAATGGCACCTTTCCGTCAATGTATCAAGAACCTTAAACCGAGAACTCCAATTCATTTAAAACTACTTTATTTATATTTATTGCTCTGCGTAAGGAAAATATCAATTTGAAACTTTTCTTTATAAATACGCTAGAAGAAAAAAAAAAAGAAAAATAATAACTTTTACAATGTAACAACTGATTGAAAGAATGTAAATAATACATAAAATTTCATAAAAACAAGGTGAGTACATTAATTTATTTTTTTCTTTAGATTTGTTTATTATTATTAGTTATTAAGTCAGTGAAGTTAGAAGGTGGGAACCCCAATTAAAAACATTATTAGTGAGTAATATAGGACATTTCCAGGTGTGAGTAAGACAGAGCGGGGATACAATGTAATAGATACAAGGCGGCTCCGCAGCAGAGCGGGAATAGATCAAATACCTTCCTGTCTAATAATTTAATTAATTATTAATGAAATTTATTAGACAAAATAAAATAGAATAGATACATGGAGGCTCCGCAGCAAGACGGGAAAATCTTACAGTGTTATAAATTGTGATAAATAGCGCGGCAACGCGGGGTACTTCAGCTACTTAAATTTCTAAGACAATGCAATAGAGTAGAGGGAAATAGGGTGGCTGGGTAGGAATAGATGATATATCTTCCCATCTAATAAATGATTGTGACAAATACCCCAGCAACTCTTGGTACTTCAACTAGTTTGTAATATCGTCCGTGTATCGTTCAATACTTTACGTAATACCGTCTCTTTATCAGAAAAAAATAATATACATAAGAAACATTTTCCTTTTAAAACGTAGGAGTGCAACGACAACTTCATTTCAAAGCGATATGATTGTTGCTTCTGACGCCGCAGTTGCTAGAAGCCAAGATATTATCGTAAGAACATATTTTTTTACTGGAAGCAAATGGCTATTTAAAAACATTATTGTAATTTTTTTTATCTTGGGTACGTCGGCGAAACAATCTTGACATTGACTAGTAACGATATAGAAACAAGGAATAACACTTAATTGCGCAAAAACAAAAAAATAATGTTTTTAATACCACAAAACCGTTTTTCGATTGCTGCGCTGGCGAAAACTTTTCGGACAGACAATACGGTTTCAGGACTGGGCTTCTACTGCGGACGCAAGGTTATAGAGATTTTAACGCTAAACTGTCTCACTAAATGAGAAATGGATTACTTCTTTACACGATTACCCTTTCTTTAATGCGTGTGTGTATTATTGAGCAATGGACGTATATGTGACCTTGTACTGTAAATTTGTTTTTATTTGAAATAATGTGTAACTTCTTGACAATGGTTGCCAGCTCATATAAGTGAAAGGTGAGGTGTTGCCAACAAGCAACTACCTCACAATAAAATCTACTAAAATCTGCATCACATCGGACTAACTCATGACTGCCGAAAATCATTCGGATTCGATGAGATTCATGTGCTCTGTGCCTGACATAGTATCCAGCTAATGGTACGGCGGTGTAACAACTCTGCTGTTCTGCAACATCGTTCACTTCCAATGCCAAGCGTCTGCATGGAGCTCATCCAGTATCTTCCGCACGTCTTGATATCAACCAGTGTATTTTCTTTCTGCGTTTTAGCATCAGGCATTGCCAACCCTCAGTTGCTCTATCAACAGCATTTAGTTAATTTAAATGTTGTGCTTTCTCCATTCATTAATAAAAATAAAAATCTGCAATTATACTTCTGTTAATTCAAACATATGATGTTCTTTCTTGCAAAACTAATAAACATTCTATTAACTCGTACATTGATGGATCATCCCAATCTCATGTTAATTCCATTACATTTGATTTAAACAGATATAATATTTTTTATAAACCTCCCTCCATGGTAGCGTCGAATACGAGATTACACGTCCGTTTCAGGTCAACTAAAGCGTCCGTCTCGCGAGAAATAGACTGAAGTCCATCGAACGTAAATCTGATCTAAGTTGTCAAGGTAAGTGACGAAGCAAATTACATAATCTAAAGTCCTCTGTTGCACCCCAACTCTGACCTCTTCTCATTGACTGTTAAACGTCAGCGACAGCCAATGTTTCTCCGTTATTAAGGTTAAAGGACACGATCCACGGCGTCACGTACTTTTCGCAAGTGGTGAAGGGCACAAGGTGAAAATGATCTCGGTCGCTGACGCGCACTTTCCGCGACTTAAATAACTGAAAAAAAGCATTAACAACATTACGCTCCCTCATATAGCGTACCTGGAGAAGACAGCACGCAGTAATAATGTAGGAGAAAATACTGTTTTTTCTAAAAAAAAACACTTGTTTTCGTAAAAAATTGAAGAAAATGGATAGAATTAAAACATTGTGAAAATACCAAAATATGCCAAATTAGTAGTATAGTACTTAATGTGTACAAATATATAACGAAAATTTGAACAGTTTAGGCGCTAGCGTTGACTACAGACGGATAGACAGAGACAGAAGGACGGATGGACATTTTGCTGTGAAACGATTTTTCGGTATGAAGAATCAACAAAATATAGATTCTGGCTACACCAGACGTTAGAGGATTTTTTTAAAATTTAGCAACAGGATTTATCTACTTTTTTA